CCCGGACCTGGGCACCTAGCCAAGTGGGCAACGTCGCGAGGGTGGGCAGGTAGGCCCCTGCTTAGCCACTCGAGCTAGTTTGGGGGAGCGTTTCTTAGTGCCAGCCCTCGCGCCCACGAGGAACAGGGGCCACGCGCGGCGGAAGCCCCTGCGCGCCAAGTTTCTCCTCTCCGGGCGGGGGAGGCGTGTCTGACCTCTCCCCGGCTAGCCCGGAGGGGCTGGTGAACCTCTGTGCACCCTCGTGAGGTCGTGGGATCGGAGGTAGGCCCAGCAGGCTTTCAACCCCCTTCCTGGGCCAGCACCTCAGCCCGCGCAGCAACCAACGGTCCCGCCGCCGGGCAATTAGAGGCTCTCACTAAGAGGAAGGGGGCGCCGGGCGTCCCGGGCTTCCCTGCCTCTCACTCCCCGCCCTCCCCGGCCTGAAAGACGTCTGAGTGACCCCCGGAAGAAAGAGAGAAGGTGGGGAGTCCAGCCCCCGCGCAACAGCACAGAAGACCCACCGCCCCTTCCCCCACCCCGAGAGCCCCGCGCCCAGGCCCGGCCCCCGCGCGGCGCTCACCTGGGATGTAGGTGTCTGCCCTTTCTTCATCCGGGAGCTCATCCCAGCTGCGGACCGAGACCCCCAGGCTCCTCCTCTTCACCAGGAAGACTTTGGGCATGGCGGGGTCCCCTCTCCGTTCGCGGCCCCCTCCTCCCAGCTGCTCCCGCTAGAGGCGACGGCGGCGGCTCGGTCCCCGGCTCCCCGCGGCCGGAGCCCACCTTCCCGCCTCGCCTGCCCTCTCCCTCCACCCCTAGTCGCTGTGCGGCCAGGCCTCTCCCCCGCTCGCCTGGCGACTCCCAGCCTCCCGACTCGGCGACACCTATGCCTTAAATCGCGGGTGAGACCACGCCGGGGAAAAAGTTTCATAAGGTGGAATAGAAAAGGCACCAGGAAACTTGGGAGTGAGCATGCGCCCTGCAACATAACGGTGTCAACAAGCTCGCTACCTGTCCGACCGGTTCCGGCGGCCGGGGCTGCCTGTTCCAGCCCTTCCTTAGGCATGAATGTTTGCAAAAGAATTTAGACTGTTCTTCCCCCTCCTCTTTTTATAAAGAGGTAGAACATTTTTTACTCAAGCCCCTGCCCCATTCCCCCACCACATGCACCTCGGGGAGAAATCTTCGAGGTATGCCCTTGGTCGCCGGCCCAGGGCACCCCCTCCTCCGCGAGTCGGGGCATCCCACTACCTTATCGCCCCCCCCCTCCCCCGTGGATTTGTCTCCGACAAGCAAGCCAGAAAATGGCTCAGTTCCTTTTGTGGATCGTTCCCGGGCTTGTTGAAATCTCTGCTGTCGGACCGGGGAGGCGTTGGGGAGATCTGGCAAAGGGGGATTGGGGCTTGAGCTCCCCCTCAACTACAACAGCTGCCCAAATAAACATAAGGATAAATTTTTAAATTCAGGATTTTTACATGTTATTTTACCGATTTGCATCATACAATCTAAACAAAAAACAAAAAACAGACTTGCTGCGTCAAAGCAGCGTCCACCCCAAGACATTGCACCTCAAAAGCCCCATCACCCCAAATAAACATGCAATAAAAACCAAACCCAAGTGTATGTTATGCAAACGGCAGCTTTGAAATTTGGCTCCATTCCTCGCCCGCTCCTACTGTCGCCTCCCATAACGACCCAATCCCCAAATTCTGAGTCTGGGAATACCTTTCCAGGAAGCCAGTAAGGTGAAGATTGGCTACACCTTGCTGCAGATACTGAGGATGTGGCTGGAAAGCTTTGTGTTTATTTTTATTTTTGCCTTTTCCTATCTACCTTTATGCCTGGAGGGGAGAGGGAAAGAAGAAGTAAGGCGAGTTGGTAAAAGAAAGATGCCAACTTTCTAAAGCAACTGTGCCCACATTGAGGATCGCGCTGCCCTTTTCAAGGCCCTGTTCTGATGTCCCCAAGACAACCGGCACAGCCTCCTGGGTCGCCGCGGTCGCCCTCCTCCAGGACGGAATCGGGCCAGTGCCAGCAGCCGGCGGGCTGCGGGGGCGTGACTGGCCGGGGTGCCCTGGCGCCTGCAGCTCGCGGCGCAGCCAGCCTCACCTGTCTGTAACCCGACCCGCTGCGCGCCCGGCCCACAGGACCCGGGAATCGACGCAGCGGTTTTCCCTGTCCTCTTCCGCCCTGGAATGGCCCTTGGTAACGGATTTCTCGGCTTGGCTGGAGAACTCTCTGGGTGCACGGAGAGGGGCGCAGCTCTCCGGGGGCTGCGCGGGGGACAGGAGCGCCAGGCCTCCGGCTTAGTCTTTGAGGAGTCAGTGTTCTCTTTGGGCCGAACTCTGACCTCCAGATTTTCTCTGAGGAAAACCGACTAAGAATGAGAAAGACTTTGATCCCGGGGAGACTGAGAAGGGGAAGGAAGGCATTTCTGTAGCACCGCAAGAAAATGAGGTGACTTCCTGACTGTAAGGCTGATGGCGCAGCTTCTGGGAGACTCCGCACGTGTTATTTTTATCTGCCAACAAACGAGATTTGCTAGAAAGAAGGAACTCGGGGTGAATGAAAGAGTAAAAATAAAGTAAACCTATAAAATAACAGGATTATTCCCCCGTCTCTAAACATCTTCAAAATTTCATTCAAGATTCTTTATTTTGTAAAAGAGACAGTGAACCCCACTAATAAAGGTGGGGTTTTTTTTTTTCTTCTTCTTTGTTTATCTGATTTCAAATCAATGAACGCCTGGACAATTTTGTCTATTTCCGTTATTTGAAAGGCTTACAGAATTTTGGCTTAGAAGGCTAAGAACTTCAAAAGCAACGCCGTGTTTATGGGTTTAGGGATGGAAACCAACAGTTTAGTTTCATCCCACTTAGTTGGATGAGCGTCTGCTGTATTTCCTGGGCTTTTCTTTGGGAGAAAGGAATTTTTAGGTGTTTTCTTCCTTTTTTTCCTTGGTCAGAATTGATAGAGGTTTATCAATACTGTTGACAAATACAAAGAACAAGCTTTTGTCTTTGTTGACTTTATTGTAAGGTTGGTTTTCTAAGTATTATGAAAGGTGATAGAGCATCCCTGAAAACTGGATAAAAAATGAACCCAAAGACGAAAAATAAGAAAAAAAAATTAATGGAAGATTCGGTAAATGTGATTGAAGAAAAATTAAGAATGTTTATCAAAACACACAGTATTTAGAGTGGTAGGCTAAACAAAGAACTGAGAAAACTTTTTGTAACACATTTATGTTACAATGATTAGAATGCAGAGCATAAGAAGAACTGTATGAATTGGAAAGGAAAAGACAAACGCCACGGCAGGGCGTGGTGGCTCACACCTGTAATCCCAGCACTCTGGGAGGCCAAGGCAGGTAGACTGCTTGACCTCAGGAGTTTGAGACAAGCCTGAGCAAGAGAGAGACCCTGTCTCTTCTGAAAATAGAAACATTAGAGGTCTGTAGTCCCATCTACTCAGGAGGCTGAGGCAAGAGGATCACTTGAGCCCGAGAGTTTGAGGCTGCTGTTAGTTGTCTGATGCCACTGCACTGAAAAACACAATAGAAAAATGGCAAAAGGTATGAAAAGGCATTTCTTTCCAGAAAGAGACTGTGAATGTCTATCAATATATAAGAAGTTGCTCAATCTCTGGGGTGGCATCTAGGCTCAGTGGGTAGGGCATGGGCCCCATATACCAAGAGTGGCGGGATTGACCCATCCTGGCCAAACTACAATGACAAAAACAATAGTCAGGCATTGTGGTGGGCACCGAAAAGTTGCTCAATCTCATTCATAAACAGGCAAATACAAATTAAAATGAGAAAGAAATACTGTTTTTTATAAGACTGCCAAAATTTAAAAGTCTGAAAAAAACACGTGTTGGTGAGGATATCAATCAATGTGACCATTCACACATTGCTAATGGCACGTGGATTAATTCAAACATTTTGGAGTTTCGCTTTATCTAGTAAGACTGAGCATACACATATTAAATGAGATGGAAATTCCATTTGACAATGCTAATATAGAAAAAATATTACACTTATGCACCAGAAGTCACAGACAAGAATATTCATTGAAGTAGCATTCATTGTACTCAAAAAATTAAAAATCTAACCTAAAAATAAAAGGCAAACTCAAATACTACCAATAACTAATTGGGTGAATAAATTGTAATAAATTCATACAAAGAAAATTAATGGGCCTTTAATCACACACATCAATAAAGCTACACAATCACATAGTTGAATTAAAAAGCAAATTACAGAAAAATCATATAAAATTCAAATATTGTTTAAAGCAGATAAAACAATATCTTATTTAGGAATAAAAAACTATTAGGTGGCTTGGCACCTGTGGCTCAAGCAGCTAAGGCGCCAGCCACATACACCTAAGGTGGCGGGTTTGAATCCCCAGCCCGGGCCCGCCAAACAACAATGATGGCTGC